ATATTTCTCCTCATATAAGTTAGGGATATCTTGTCTCTTGCTGCTTTAAAGATTTTCTCTTTATCTTTGGAATTCGCAAGTTTCACTATTAAATGTCAGGGTGTTGAACGGTTTTTATTGATTTTAGGAGGGGATCTCTCTGTCTCCTGGATCTGAATGCTTGTTTCTCTCCCCAAATTAGGGAAGTTCTCAGCTATGATTTGTTCAAATATGCTTTCTGGTCCTCTGTCCCTTTTGGCACCCTCCGGAACTCCAATTAAACGTAGACTTTTCCTTCTGAGGCTGTCATTTATTTCCCTTAACCTTTCCTCATGATCTTTTAATTGTTTTTTTCTTCTTCCTCAGCTTCCTTCCTTGCCATCAACTTGTCTTCTATGTCACTCACTTGTTCTTCTACCTCATTAACCCTCGTCATTAGGACCTCCAGTTTGGATTGCATCTCATTTAATTGATTTTTTAATTTCGGCCTGATTCAGTCTAAATTCTACAGTCATGAAGCCTCTTGAATCCTTTATGCTTTTTTCCAGAGCCACCAGTAGCTTTATAATTGTGCTCCTGAATTGGCTTTCTGACAGCGAATTGTAATCCAAATTCTGTAACTCTGTGGCAGAGAGTACTGTTTCGGATTCTTTTGTGGTGAGCTCTTCTTTCTAGTCATTTTGCTCAGTGTAGAGTGTCTAAAAACAAGTTGTACTTGTTAGAAGCGCAAACTCTTCTCTTTGTAGCTAGCGTTCCAGCTGTTCTCTCTTTAAATCTCAGGTCGAATTCCTAGGTTTTTCAGGATGATTTGAAAGTTACCTAGGTAAGTTGGTGGGGCCAGGTGACTTGGGGATCCTACTCCTCCGCTATCTTGCCCTGCCTCCTCTATAATACTCTTTAAAGTCATAGTATTTTGATATTGAATAAAATGACAATGAATATTCATGGAATTTGCTGATTTTGTTGTTTTAAAGATTACATTTCTTTAATAAAACTTTAATTGCTTGGGCAACTGCTGTTTTTCTAATCTGGGATAGCTACTTTTATTATTATTATTATTATTGTCGGGTTATAATTTGATTATAGTTGAAATTTTGAGTTTTAAAGGATATATTTTATGGAACATATATTTTTTGAAAAGCATTTTCATGCTCCTTTTGTTTCCTTTAAATGAAAAAAAATTTTAAGTAAACTCTGATACTTAGAAAAAATTTCTCTTTTTTCCCTTTCTAGTGATATTTGGGCTCTGGGGTGTGTCCTATATGAGATGTGCACACTTAAACATGCAGTAAGTAGAAGTTTCAGAAATATTTTAAAAATTATGTCCTGAAGTACGTGTAATATTTCTGTTATTTAAAAATCATATGGTATCTTTCAGATCACCCTCTTGTATTAGAAATTCTGTCAGTTTTTAAAGTTCTCATCTTTTCTCAAATATAAATTTAAATTGATTTTCCCATAACATATATGCATATATTACATACATACATCATATACTTGTTATTATAATACATATGTCATATTTTTTTCCAGGAATTTTTAAAGATTTATTTATTTTGAGGAGACAGAATCTCCAGCAGACTCCCTGCTCATTGAAGACCTGGAATGGGGACTTAATCCCATGATCTGAGTCATGACCTAAGCCGAAATCAAGAATTGGACAGTTAACCAACTGAGCCAACAAGGCATCCCCCCAGAAAATTATTTCTAATGACAAAAATAAAAACTTGCTATCTTTTTAATGTTACATTTACATGTGAATTTGATATTTTAACTTAACAATTTTTGTTTCATCTTAGCAATTTTTCTCAAAACACCCAGAGTATTTGGATTGAATTCTATTTGAGTTTAGAATTGAAATTAAAGAATATTTTTCAACATATTTATTAAGGGATTTTATCAGTTCAAATACTCTTTAATTAAAACTTTAATTTTGGGGCAAATGGATAGCTGAATTGGTTAGATGTCCAACTCTTTTTGTTGTTGTTGTTGTTGTTGTTGTTGAGATGTCCAACTCTTGATTTCAACTCAGGTCATGATCTTAGCATGGTGATCGAGGTATGATCCAGCCCCGTGTTGGGCTCCATGCTCAGCAGGGAGTCTTCTTCCCCCACTTGAGCATGCTTAAGTATGTGTGCAGTCTCTCTCTCTCAAATAAATCTTTAAAGAAATTTTTTTTTTATTTGAGACTTTGTTGAGCTGGCACATAATACATCCAAAAGGGGCAGTTTTTGTCTTAAAGTTGGATTTTAATCCCTTTCCATTTCAAAATTTTACTTTTTAAAAATCCTCCCTTGAGGGTGCCTGAGTGGCCCAGTCAGTTAAGCATTTGACTCTTGATTTCAGCTCAGGTCATGATCTCGGGATGGTAAGATAGTGCCCTTCAATGAAGGGCTCCTTGATGGGCATGAGCCTGCTTGAGATTATCTCTCTGTCTCCCTTTGCACAAACTCCTGCCATGTGCCCATATGTTGGCTTGCTCTCTTTAACAACAAAAAATGCCCTATTAAACAATAATGTATTTTCATTACAGAAAACTTAAGAAAATAGATAAAAATATAAAGAAGTGAATGAGTACCAAAAGCATTTCTTCCAATTGCTGATGAGTACCTGTAATATTTTGTGTCCTTCCAGGCTTTCTTCTAGATTGATTTGTGAAATGAGGGTTTTGGGGGCAGCCCTGGTGGCTTAGTGGTTTAGTGCCGCCTTCAGCCCGGGCGTGATCCTGGAGACCCAGGATCGAGTCCCACATCAGGCTCCCTGCATGGAGCCTGCTTCTCCCTCTGCCTGTGTCTCTGCCTCTCTCTCTCTCTCTCTGTGTCTCTCATGAATAAATAAATAAAATCTTAAAAAAAAAAAAAAAGAAATGAGTGTTTTTTCCTCTCTGCAGTTTATTTATACTGTATAAGTTGTTCTACAGACTGTTTTTATTGCTTCATATTATTTGGGGGATATTTTTTCTTTGTTGTGTTTTTTTTCTTGGCAGCATACTCGTTTTCTGTATTGCCTTACAAGAGTGTAGATTGCCAAAGTTATGTGCGATGGATTATTAGATTTTCAGATTATTTGAAGAAATTGGTCAGTTTTTTGACATAGTTATTTTAGGACTAAGTGTATTTTCTTTCATTTTTTTCATCTATGTTCTGTTATCATTGCTTCTGGATTTTGGAATTATTTACTCTTAAGTAGACACATGAAAATAAGTAATTCACTAACCTTTATGAAAAGTTTGTCAGCTGAGAGACCGTGAAAAATCGTTGTAGTGAAGGTAATCTATAATTATGCATTTAGAATTCCATCCTAGGTACTTGGATATTTTAGACTACTGAATTGTAGTCAGACTTTAATATGCTGAATAATCATATTTTAAATGTCTAGGAAAGTTCAAGGCTTAGCAGAACTTTTTTATGCTTGGTATAATCACCAATACCTAATCTACAGCATGTTTTGTTAATGTGTATATTAAGAACATGTTGACAGTGTAGGACCTGTTCTATACTATTTTAGCAGAGATGTTAAAAACTTAATTTTATTTACTTTCAAAATGAAATCTTTAGATTTTAAACTGCCCTATGGCCGTTGGTCTTCTTTCTTTCTTTTTAAAAGATTTTATTTATTTATTCATGAGAGACACAGAGAGAGAGGCAGAGACACAGGTAAGAGAGAAGCAGGCTCCATGCATGGAGCCCAACATGGGCCTCGATCCTGGGACTCCAGAATCATGCCCCCTGGCCCGAAGGCAGGCACTAAACCGCTGAGACACCCAGGGATCTCCGGTCTTCTCTTTGTTAACTTCAGTTAGAGTTTATGTTGTGTTACTCCTAAAATATACTATTCCCATTGATATGACTTACATTCCCCTTTGGAATATTTGCCACATTGCTTCATGTGTGGCTTTTGGGAACATCACACACTTAAAAATAATAATGAGCAGTGTTTAAAAGAAAAGAAATTAATACCTTTTCTTTTTCCCCCTAAGATTTATTTATTTGAGAGGGATAGGGCCCATGTGCACAAGTTGGGTGAGGGGACAGAGGGAGAGAATCTCAGGCAGACTCCCTACTGAGCTTGGAGCCTGATGCAGGACTTTATCTCACAACCCATGAGATCATGACCTGAGCCAAAATCAAGAGTCAGACACGTAACCTTCTGAGCCACCCAAGTGCTCTAATACTTTCATTCATTATATTTTTCCCAGGTACTTTTTGTTTTGTAGTCTTGTTCCATTTACTGCAACAGGGGCATAGGTAGGCAGGTCTTAAGTGAAGACTATAAGGTTTGTTTTCATCTTTATTATTATTATGTTCTTATAAAATCCTTAATATCTTTATTCCATCTTGCAGTGTTTTGAATAAAAATCTTAGAGTAAGTTATAATGTTTTATGAGGACTGATATTCTCTTAAATATGTTTATTAATAACCAAGTGAACTTTGTTCTGAAGAAATATGCTAAAAAAGGAACATATGCTGACTAAAATATTTGTAAGAGGATTGTATTTCTGTTCTATAGGAAAAGGACTATTTCTCATTGTTTATTCCTATTTTCAATTTATATGTGTTTCATATATGTTAATTTATTTTCTGGATTTTAGTTCGAAGCTGGCAATATGAAAAACCTGGTACTGAAGATAATATCTGGATCTTTTCCACCTGTATCTTTACATTATTCTTATGATCTCCGCAATTTACTCTCTCAGTTATTTAAAAGAAATCCTAGGGAGAGACCATCAGTCAACTCCATATTGGAGAAAGGTTTTATAGCCAAACGCATTGAAAAGTTTCTCTCACCTCAGGTATGTTTTTTTTTTTTTTTTTTTTTTTTTAACTTTAGAACAGTAGGGTTATGATGCTTAACTAGGACATAACCTATGTTTTGAGGAGAGCACATCACAATTCTGGGAGAATTAGATGCTTTTTTTCAGATGACACTGGAGTCACCTTTCTATCCATTCTCATTTTTTTTTTGTTGTTTTGTTTGATTTATTTTTGGTGGGTGGGAGGGGAGATAAAAAATAAAAAAAAAGTTTGTTTTTTGCTTCAAGGAACTTTTCTCAAGAGTGGTAACTCATTCATTATACATTCCCATGGATGAGCACTGTTTTAGCTTTCATGACAGTTTGAGTTCAAGGTAATGTACATAAAATATATTTTTTTGAAATTCAGTGTATTCATTTGGACACACATGGGGTGACCCTTGTGTTCTCATTCTCAGACAAAAGGTACTGGCACTTTGGCTTCAAGAACGAATAAAAGGTATCATAAATACAACTGCGATTTGGGTCTGGGCTAATGACTAAGGAACTATTCAGCTATAATGGTCTCACATATTTCAATGCCCTGTGAAGCAGAGTGATGAGGATAAGAATTATATGAACAATGATAAATAAAAAGCATCTACAGAAACAGGAAAATATTTTTCATTAAATTTGCCAGTTACTCTAGTTCAGTAGGATGTTTGTGAGGAAAAGAACTATGGCAGGAAACTATTCCATTGTTGTTTAGAACTTTTTTTTTAGAACTGCTTAAGAGCAAAAAAATGAATACCAACCAACTTCCTCGGTTTGATATTGTCTTAAAATGTGTTATTTTGTAACTTGAACACCTATGTTATGTCTTGAAAATTCAAAGCAAAATGTAAAATCATGTAGAAAGCCAGAAACGTCATCAATATATCTACACAGATGTTTGCTTGTAGATTTTGGTGTCCAAAACCTTTTTTCCACGCATTGCACAGATGCCCTTTTTGTAGGCACAGCCCTGGCAGTAATGAGAACCCGGTTGGTGCACGGAACTTTTACAAATTCTGCAAGTGGAGAACTTATTCTTTCCATATGGATCAAATCTTGCTTTTTTTGAAGTCAAAGCTTTATTTTCATTCAACTTTCTTCCACCACTTTCTGTGGTATTCCTTGCACCATCTTTCCATGTGTCTGGAGTGATAACAGTAACAAGTTTCTTTTCACTTTTTCGCACACCATCCTTCCCTGACGGTTCCCCCGCATTCTCATATTTTTCCTCTTTGGATTTGTGTTCTGGTTGTGAATCTATAGGAGGGAAAACATTCCTCCTGTGTTTTAACACTAACTGAACTTCTTATCCTTCTGATCACTAAATGTGTGGTAGTTTTTCCCACACCAAGGACTTTTGCAACACAGCTGGGTGTCCTACAGTTTAGTTCAGTTCTGGCACTACCTGGAAATGTAGATCATCAGATCCCAAAATCAGATGAAGGAGTGCATAGGGCAAGGTCTGAAAGGGTCTTGGGTACAGGAGTTTCTGTTCCAGTGAAACTGGGATGTGTTAGCCTGCTGGCATGTTTACCAACACAGTCCAGTCCTGTTCTTCAATATTTTATGGAAGCTTTCTTGCGTAGACACGATTGATTAAATCATTGGCTCTTAGTGTTTGACTCAATCACTAGTCCCTTTCCTCTCGAGGGGAGTAGTGAAGCTGAAAGTTCCAGCTCTCTAATCGTGTGGTAGATTTCCTTGGCAATCAGCTTCCATCCATAGGGGCTTTCTAGATATCACTTTATTAACATAAATTCAGGGGTAGTTGAAAGAGATTTAGGAATAAGAAAAGACACCTTTATTCTCTTACCATTTAGTTACTTTAAGGGTTTTAGGAGCTGTGTTTGCCAGGAACTGGCATCAAATATGTATTTCTTATCCTAAATCACAATATCAGAAAATCATTTCCTTTGTCTTTGGTTTCTTTTGTTTTGCTTTCCAATTTTTTTTATCATGGTAAAATATACACAACATAAAATATTCATCTTAGCCATTTTTGAGTGTGCAATTCAGTGATATTAAATAGATATTCACTGCTGTGCAGTTAATACCAGCATTCATCTTTACAACTCTTCATCTTGTAAAACAAACTCAGTCCCCTTAACCAGTTACTGCCCATTCCTCTGTCACAACTCCTGGCATTCACCTCTCTACTTTCTGTCTTGGGTTTCTAACTGTAAAATTATTATTTAAAAAATAATTAAATTCAATATAGTTAACACACACAGGGTTATGTTAGTGTCATGTGTACAATATAGTGATTCAATGATTCTGTACAGTCGTGCTTATCAAGGTAAGTGTACTTTTAATTCCCTTTACCTATTCCACCCATCCCCCTACTCACTTCCCCTCTGGTAACCATCTCGAGTTGTAAAATTATTAAACATTTCTGTGCCTCACTGACAGGTAAACAATGGCATTATAAATATATCATCAGGTGATTATAAGAATTAAATAGAAAGTGATAATGTACATAAAGTGCTTAATGTCTAGCATGTAATAAGTGCTCAATATATTCAGTATATATTAGATATTATCAATGTGTCATTTTATTATACTAATATGTATATGTTAGTATCTTAAGGTATTATAATTATATTCTATTTGGCAATTATTGGAAGTTTTGTGGGCATTTATATGTATAACAGATTGTTGATTTAAAATTTTTCCTCTAGTACTCACATGTATAATAAATATTTGTTGAGTTGAACTGAATTTTACTTTGACCAGATTTACTAAAAAATTATATCAAATCATTTCTACAAGTTTTTGATACAAGTATGATCACTTGAAACTGGAATTATTTATTACATATTCTGTATGGCCTTTGTTAATTTAAATAATCACTGTTAAACTCTGTAAATCATGCATCTAACAAAGTCATAGTTTTATTACTTTTATATGCTCATGGGCTAAGAGGGACATGTCATATATTCTCTGACTTAATAGAATATCTGCAAACAATTTTCAGAAAACAGAGATGTGGATTTAACTGTTACTACCAGGAGAACACAAAATTAGTTCACAAAAAGCCAAGTAAAATGTATAGATTGAAGGTTAATTATATATGACATAGCAAGAATCTCTGAAACATAGGTGTCTTATAAGACTCCTTTGTTAGAAGTAATATTTTCAAGGACAGATTTATGATGCAATATACTATTGTTTTTTTGGCAACCACTGGCGAAGAAAGAATAACTTCACTGAATCTTGCTGAGACCCCCTCCCCCAAAAAACCATAGTTCAGACATACAGTTTCAAGGTTGAAGCACTGGAATTCAGCTAGCCAGCAATGAAAGAAAATGTTCAAGCCTCATGTATCAAAATTTATTATATGCAAAGAAAAAAGGACAAATTATTAACAAGTGGAATATTTGATAGTATGTTTTAGTATATGAATAGCTCTTTGTTGCTATTTAGACATCACCTAGATTTCATTTTTTATGAAAATCTCTTCTTTGGTTCCTAAGTTTTATTTTCTGCTATATATCACTTATTCAGTATTCTAGTGAGAAAGTTTATAATACATTTTTAAAGGCTTTAACTTTGAAACAATTTGTGAGCTTTACTGTATAACATATGAACTACTGTAATGTTCTGTAGGTTTTTAAAAAATCTCTTCTTCCTAAATTCTGTCAGCCAGAGCTTAATAGAGCTTAATTTGCAATCTTACACACCTTGAAGGAAGCTTGACAAATCACGGATAAGCTCTGATTTCTTAGGAATATAGGTGCTGTCCAATAGTAGTGCTTTCTATGATATGTTTTATATCTGCATTGCCCAGCATTGTAGCCACTAGCCACTTGTGGTTATTGAATACTTAAAATGTGCCTAGTGTGACCAAAGGGCTGAATTCTAAGTTAAATTTACTTAAAATTTTCATCAAAATAACTACATATGGATGGCAACTATATTGGACAACACAGCATAGAGATTTCAGAATCTTCTTCGATTCTTTATGCCCCATCTCTTAGTTCATATTTGCATTCATACAAAAAAGAAAGACTCACATTCAAACAATGACAGAAACTAGCCAGTTTGGGGCACGTTGGAGTTGATAAAGCACCCATTTTCTTCCATGCAAAAGAAAGGGAAAACATGCAGGTGTTTAGAAGAGAAAATACACTCTGCTCAGAATTGCCTGTGAACCACACCTTCACTTAATTTATTTTTTGGTGCAGTGGTTTTCAAGCTTTACCATACATTAAAAAAAAAAAATCACTTGGAAGGCATTGCTGGGTCCTATCACTACAATTTCTATTTTAGTGATTCTGAGGTGGGAGCCTGACAATTTCCACATTTAATATGTCCCTGGTGATGCTGATTCTGCCAGTAGGAGACTTGAAAACTGCTTTTTGGGGGACCCTTAAGGGGACAAATGACCATCTCAGTCATGGTTTTTTGCCTGTTGGAGCTTCTGTTCCACTGCTGTGTGCATATTCTCTCCAGCAGGCCTCATTTCTCTTGAAAAAAGAAAAAATTAATTTGCTTTCCTTTCCCCACCTCATAAGAAAAAGCAGGTTTAAACTGAGTTAAATCTTTGTTGGTGTCATAGTTTCGCACTTAAAAAAAAAAAAACAGTGAATAGGGAGGAAAAATGACTTGCGGGAAATACTAATGATTTTTGCTTCTCAAAGATGTTCATGAATGCTAGGGAATAGGACCTGGAGTATTTTAGTAATAGTAAAAAGAGATACTTGTTGAATTATGTAAGAATAATTGAATATTTTTCCATGAGTATCTTTACAATTACATATTAATAGGAGTGAAAACTCATTGAAGATACAGAGAAGATTCAGAGTAAAGTTGAAATAACTGATAGGTTAATCTGAGAAAGGGGTAATTAAGAGATTAATAGTTTTGAGGTAAACGAGGGATTTGGCTGTATATAGAACATAGAAGCTTTTCCAGATAAGACATAATTGTGTTAAATTGCTGAGTTTGTGTGGGCCTTTGTTCTTCATTAGGTTAATTTGAGAAGAGAACATGTCTGGAAAAGTAATAAAGTTTATGAGTCGAAGGGAATTAGGATGAGAGGGCTTTGGTGAATGAATTACTAAGGTTGAATAAATACAGTTTATCTGATAGCATATTGTATAACTGAAAAGGGGGGAAAATGTAATCTGATTAATGGGTAGGTTTTTTATTTTGGAAATTTAACATCTTTTCTAACTTTGTCCTCTTTCAATCTAAGCTTATTGCAGAAGAATTTTGTCTAAAAACATTTTCCAAGTGTGGAGCGCAGCCTATACCAGGTAAATGAAATTTAATATGAGTCCTTTAACCTGTATGCAATAAACAATATACTAATACTAATTAGTAATACTTTCTAATTATACTAGAGATATATGTAGATATAATAAGTTGGGGTTAATTGTAGGTAAATTTAGCCCAGAAGGAAATGAATCTTTAAATTATTTTTGACTTATGACAGTATACAACACTTTCTGATGAATTAATAATAAAATTTCCATTTCTTGTCTGCCTTATTTAAATGAAATCTATCTTGAAGTCTTTCGTCTTTATCAGTTGCTTAGCTGATATTCTGAGCAGATTTTCATAAAATGTCTTAGTTAAGTGTAAATCTTTATATATCTTTCTTTGAAAAATACTTCATATTCTAAAATTTTTAAAAAGCGAATTATTATGAAGTCAGGTACCTTACCAAGGTTAATTTTCTTTTACTGTGGCCTGTAGCAGGAGACCATTTGTAGGATTGTCAGTATGGTTATATACTGTGTGTGTGTGTGTGTGTGTGTGTGTGTGTGTGTGTGTGTATGAGAAGGAAATTATATTTTTTCTTCATAGGCTGATTTCACAATGGATTTTTAAAATCAGAAGTTATGTAAGATTTGAAGAGTATATTGTTTTTCAAACATAATGCTTTGCATGTTCTCCATTTTGAGTTTGAGTAAATTAATAAAAATAAATACCATATTATGACAGTGAGTCCATGTTGGCTGGAAGTGGTATGACAGTGGTAAGGCCAGCCATATTTAGCTCTTCCTAAAGACCCTTAGACCCGTCCTCTCAGTGTGTGGAGATTGTCAGTCCCTGGGAAATCAGTTTACTCTAAACAAAATTCACAAGAGAGACACAGCAGAATCAGCAATGTCTCTCCTGGCAGCCAGCCCTCATGAGAAGTCAAATCTTAATCAAAGCCTCATTGTCAGAGAGACCAGAATTACTCCTTGTCAGCACATTCTTTCCAGTTAGATAAGCCTACATAGGAATTAGAAAGTTATTTTATTTTAACAGGAGTTGGATGAATGAAATGTGGAATAGCATGAGGCTAAAATAGAAATTTTATTGCTGATGGGCTAATAGATACTTTATGGGCTCCATCTCCCCATATTAAGCTTTATCCTACTGGTAGCCTTTTCACTGAGAAATACCCCCAAATCAGATTCCCCTCTTTTCTGGAAGTAATTGGGAGCTATTCAATATTTTTCTCTTGGGAATCATTTTTATACTTTTGTGACTTTAGTTCCTTCTTCAGTATGTGTACCAGTATATGCATTTCTTTGATTGTTTTAATACATTTAGCCAAGTTACAGTGTTATGATGTTGTATATATGTATTCTGATTTCATCTCACAGTTGAACTCTCAGAGGGAAATTTTTTTCTTCCACTTTTCCTAGTTCCTAGTTAATATCTTTGAGAGATATAAATAGTAGACTTTCCTTTAAATTTCTTCAGTTTAAGTGTTTTTCTTGAATTTATTATTGTTCTTGGACTGAACTTTATCTAGGCTTCATTAAGAATTGGATACATAAGGGGCATATGAGCCACATAAGGTGGCTCAGTCAGTTGGGTGTCTGTCTTTGGCTCGGATTTTGATCCTGGAGTCCAAGGATCAAGCCCCATGTCAGGCTTCCTGCTTAGCAGGGAGTCTGCTTCTCCCACTCCCTCTGTTTCCCCCCCCCCCCCCGTACCCTGCTCCTGCTCACTCTCTCTCAAATAAGTAAAATATATTTAAAAAAAGAATTGGATAAATAATTGCTCTAGGGCCTATCCTTGTATATAAATTTTTATATATCTCTGATTATTTCTTTGAAAGC